TGAGAGGATTGCCTGAGTCCAGGGATTCGAGACCAGCCTGGGCAACTTGATGAGACATTGTCTCTACAATTATTCAAAAAATTAGGCCAGGGGTGGTGGCGAAGGCCTACGGTTCCAGCTACTTGGAAGGCTGTGGAAGGATCGCCTGAGCCCAGCAGGCTGAGGCTGTGGTGGCCATGAGTATACCACTGCACTCCAGTCTGGGTGACAGAGTAAGACTCCGACTCAAAAAGAAAAAGAAAGAAAAGTTCTAGTTAAATTCTTGGACTAAGTTCCAGTCAATGGCTTTTGGGAGTGAAAACCACACACTATTAATTAGTTAAGGTAAAAACCCACACAAATTCTGGATCCTTTAACAACCATTCTCCAGAATGATAAATGTAGAGGATGACCAGAAACCAAGAACCTGGAGTCAGGTTTAAGGGGTTTAAGCATCCCACCTAAAAAGTTTTGGATCTGTGCATTAGAAAATGCGTGTGGAATGTAAGTAAATGATTTTGCACCTTGTTGAAAAGATTTTGGGAAGGCCTAAGTGTTTGAAGGAAAAAAAGAGAGCTGTTTTGTCTAATGGCACCCCTAAACTACCAGTGAACAAGAGTGGAGTTCACAGTAATGGACAGACCTTCCCCAAAGCCCCCAGCTGGGTGGCCCAACAGCTACTGGCTCCCAGGAGAACCTTGATCCACAGGCAGTCCTGCTTGCCATATCCTAATTTTGTGGATACCAGTTTTTTCAATGAGAAGCCCAGCACTCAACTCCAAGGCATATCTACAAAATTATCCTTCCTCACTCTCATTCCAGTTACGTTCCTTCACAAAGGAACATTGGCACCAGAATCACACCACACAGAGGACCATATAGTGCCAGGGTTGTACTAAGTCAGTAGAAAGAAAAGGTTTCTCTACCAGGTTCACATTAGTGTGGTTCTCAGAAGACAAGCAGAGAGGCCAGAGTTCCATGACACACTCAACATCTCAGTCATACATCAGCAATACTCACAGAAACCAAATATGTACGTCTATCCATGGAGAGCAGTAACATATCTCCTTAATGCCTAAAACAAGCAAGACTTTTAAGTGTATTTTTACAGCTAAGTCACAGTAAAGGAAACATTTTCTCTTAATGCTACTCATTTTTTTTTTCATTTTCCTCAGCTGATCCTAGTTTTTAAACACCTACACCCATCAGTCCTATTCCTAAATAAATATACATATGTATACAGATAACACAAAGTTCAATGCATAAATAACTTGACATTTTATAATGTTTCTCTCTCTCATCTTATACACACTTTTAATCTTGAGTAACTTTAAATACACAATCTACTAACAGTAAATACACATTCATGTAGCAAGAACCATATCACTATTCTTTCACTGGATATATCTTGTAATAGCATCAGTGGACTTGAAAGGTGACGGCATAACTGTTGGGGAGAGACACTTGTTCAAACTTCTTTAAAACATTTGAAAGTCTTTGTCTTTCATTCTCCTGCTAGGTCTTTCTCCGAAAATGCAGGCAGTTCAGAAGGAAACAATCAAAAACACGACTCTCTCCTCCTGGGATATCAGCACTCTTGTTGCAAGAGGATGTCTTCACAATTGCTAGAGTGGCATCTGAAAGCACAGGAAGATATACCACCAAATATTTTACATAAAGTCTTTCTAGAAATGGATTTCTATCTCACTTGCTTTCTCATATTGCTTTCTCATATTTCATATATTGATAATGTTGGTGACTACTATGTATCAGGAAAATCTTAGATTTAGATTAGATGTATCAAAAACAAGATCTTAAAGACAATCTTAAGAACAATTACCAATTAAAACTATCATATGCAAATAATGACTAATTTTGACATAATGGATCCAAGTTTTGTAGAGCCTGGAGTTTATACAGTATGCATGAATTAGTTGTTCATAGGTTACATGAATTAGCTCAAATGAATGCATTGCAAACACCTCTCACTGGGTCCCAGAAGGGCCTGTGCAAATGAGGCATTAAAACTTAAGATCTGTGCACTTCACAGTAATTCATCTTTGATATCACAGATGCTCAATAGATGCTCAAAATGCTTTGCAGAAGTTAACAAAATAGCTGGGCACGGTGGCTCATGCCTGTCATCCCAGCACTTTGAGAGGTAGAGGCAAGAGGATTGCCTGAGCCTGAGGGAGGTAGGCAACCTGGCGAGATGCTGTCTCTACAAAAAATCAAAAAATTAGCCGGCTGTGGTGGCACACACCTGTAATTCCAGCTACTTGGAAGGCTGAGGTGGAAGGATCACCTGAGTCCAGCAGATCGAGGCTGCGGTGGCCGTGAGCATGCCATTGCACTCCAGCCTGGGCAACAGAGTGAGATTCGGACTCAAAAAAACCCAATTTTTTTAAGTTGACACATTAATTCCAATAAGACAGGTATGAGAATATGGAATTTAGATACCATATTTTAAATAGAGTTAATGAGATAGTAAACACTGAATGACTTACTTGAGCAAATAACAAATAATCACTTTAAAAGGTCTGATTTGAGTTTCTTTTAACACTAAAAAGTTACATTTAAAAAGAAGGCAATCATTTGGTATAGCACTAACCCTCTTTATTAGGAGAAAGATTACCAAGTTCAGTTATGCACCGCATAAGGACATTTTGGTCGACAGACAGCATACGGTGTGAACCCATAAGCTGAAAATTCCTATTGCCTAGTAATATCGTAGCTGTGATAATACCATAGTGCAACGCATTCCCTTTTGTACGTTTACATGCTTTGAGATAAATAAAACTTACCATCATGTTACAACTGCCTACAATATTGAGTGCAGGAACATGCTGTATAGGTCTGTAGCCTAGGAACAATAGGCTATGCCATGTAGCCTAGATGTGTGATAGGTGCCACCATCTAGGTATAAATATACTCTATGATGTCCACACAAAGATGAAATCGCCTAATGATGCATTTCTCAGAACACTAAGTAAGGCCCAACCAATCATTCCATCTATTTTGCTTTACAAGCCCATAGGGCAAATGACTAATAAGGGAGATAAGTATGTATCTTTCTTAAGTACTTATCACCCTGAATTCACATTTCAGGAGATTAGCTTAAGCGCAAGAGAAATAACACTACTTCTGGTTTTCTTCCAGTTTTCTTTTCTTTCTTTCTTTCTTTTTTTTTTTTTGAATCAGAGTCTAACTCTGTTGCCCAGGCTGGAGTGCAGTGGCATGCTCACAGCAAGCGCAGCCTCTACCTGCTGGATTCAGGCGATCCTTCTGCCTCAGACTTCCAAGTAGCTGGAACTACAAGCATGCACCACCATGCCCAGCTTATTTTTGTATTTATTATAGAGATGAGGTCTCCCAAGTTGCCCAGGCTGGTCTCGAACCTGTGGGTTCAGGCAATCCTCTCACTTTGGCCTCCCAGAGTGCGTGAGCCGCCATGCCCAGCCTCTTTCTGCTGTTTAAAACATTTTTTTAGTCGGAGTCTCACTCTATCACCCAGGCTAGAGTGCAGTGGCACGCTCACAGCTACTGCAGCCTCGACCTGCTGGGCTCAGGCGATCCTTCTGCTTCAGCCTCCCAAGTAGCTGGAACCAAAGGTATGTGCCACCACACCCGGTTAATTTTTAGATTTACTGTAGAGACGAGGTCTCACAAGTTGCCCAGGTTATGAACTCCTAGACTCAGGCATTCCTCTCATCTCTGCCTCCCAAAGTGCTAGGATTACAGGCATAAACCATCACACCCAGATTGAGAAGTTTTTGTGGGTTTTTGGACTGTTTTTTTTAGTTGGAGTCTCACTCTGTTGCCCAGGCTGGAGTGCAGTGGCATGCTCACGGTCACCGCAGCCTACTGAGCTCAGGCAATCCTTCCGCGGGTCAGCCTTCCAAGAGCTGGAACCACAGGCACGTGCCACCACACCCAGCCAATTTTTTTTATTTATTGTAGAAATGAGGTCTCACCAAGGTGCCCAGGGTGGTCTCAAACCCCAGGACTCAGACAATCCTCCCACTTCATCCTCCCAAATTGCTGAGATTACAGGTGTAAGCCACTGAATCTGGTTTTCTAAGTGGCACAACTCTTTCTCTTTCAGAAGGTCTCATAGAATCAATCACCACAAGGTATGTTTCAGCTGAAAAATTTGGTCTTCAGCAAGCCCCAAAATATTCCCCATGGGAGGCTCCACAGCCTTAATTAAGTATGGGAAGTCATACCTACCCAGTCCAGATCCTCAGTGCTGATGTTCCATTCAAGGCAAGTCAACTTCTGAATCATCTGACAGTGGAGATCCTGATACCTGTAAAAGAATAATAGAGTACTACAGGTTTTCAGTAATTACACAGATTCCACTTCCCCAGAATTCCAGACCTAGTTGTTCAAATATCAGTTGTTTATAATTAACTATTCATAGTTCAAGATGTCTACATGGAAAAGGAGGAAGTAAGGGGATATTATTCTTTGATCTCTTAGTTTACACATATGTTAAAAGATACTTGTGATCTCCCATGGCAGTGCAAGCCTACTACAACCCTCCTCTTCTACTTGTTACAAAAACGCAATAGCAAAAACCTGTTGGGACCATCATATAAAGACTTTAAAGCAGTCATCAGAACTGTACTACATGAAGTAAAGGAAAACACACTTAAAATGAAGGGAAGGGACAGGAATTCTTAGCAGAGAAACAGAAGCTACATGAGTAAAGAAGAATCAAATTGATATTTTAGGACCAAAAATTACAACATCTGAAATTTTAAAATCTCACTGGAAGAGCTTAATATCAGAATAGAGATGATAAAGTAAAAAGTCAGATAACGTAAAGACCGATCAACAGAAATTGCCCAATCTGAAGCATAGAAAGAAAAAAGATTAGAAAAAAATGAAGGGTATCAGGAACCTGTGAGAAAATGCCAAAAAGTCTAACATATATCTCATTAGACTCATAGGAGAAAAGAATGTGGCAGAAAAAAATATTTGAAAAAATAATGATTAAAAAACTCCCCAAATTTGGCAAAAGATGATACCAGAGGAATACTGGAATCTAGGAGACGGAGGGAAAACAGAAATGATAAGTAGCTGGATGAATATAAAAGACATTATTTTCCTCATAAATTGTTTAAAGCATTTATGACTGTTTAAAGCAAAAAAAGAACAGTGTGGTAGGATTTTGAAAGTCTATAAATGTAGTACATGTGATAACTCTCACATAAAATTTGAATTGAGGGGAAAGGAATATGTTTGCAAGCTTCTGTATTTTATATTGGGTGGTACAATGTAGACTGAAAAACTAGCTATGTACGTTGTAATTCTTAGAGTAATCGCTTAAAAAAATACAGAGGTATCACCAAAAAACCCAACACTAAAAATATTCTGAAACAGCTTTTTTGCAATGAGTTTGCTGCCAGAGCACAAGTATAAAAAACACCCCTGAAAACCAAAATGGGAAAAGACTCATATCAACATTGTTGCCACTGGACACATAGATTCAGAAGTCCACCACTGCTGGTCTGATCTGATCCACAAATGTGGTGGCATTGACAAAAGAACCATTAAGAATTCTGAGAGGGAGGCTAGATGGGAAAGGGCTTCTCCAAGTATTCCTGGGTCTTGGATAAGTTGAAAGCTAACCATGAGCATGGTACCACCACTGCTATCTCTCTGTGGAAATTTGAGAGGAGCAAGTACTATGTCATGACCATTGACGACCCCAGACACAGAGGCTTCATCAAAAACATGATGACAGGCACATCTCAGGCTGGCTGTGTTGTCCTGGTTGTTGCTGCTGGTGTTGGTGAATTTGAAGCTGGTATCTCCAATAATGGGCAGACCCGTGAGCATGCCTTCCTGGCTTACATACTAGGTGTGAAACAACAAACTGCTGTTCCACTGAGTCACCCTATAGCCAGAAGAGATACGAGGAAATTGTGAAGGAAGTCAGCACTTACATTAAGAAAACTGGCTATAGCCCTGATACAATGGCATTTGTGCCAATTTCTAGTTGGAATGCTGACAACATGCTAGAGCTAAGTGCTGACATGCCTTGGCTCAAGGGATAGAAAGTCACTCATGCCAGTGGAACCACCCTGCTTAAAGCACTGGACAGCATTCTACTACCAACTCGTCTAGCTGACATGACAAGCCCTCGCATCTGCTTCTCCAGGATGTCTACAAGATTGGTGGTGTTCGCACTTTCCCTGTGGGCCAAGTGGAGACTGGTATTCTCATACCTGGCATGGTGGTCACCTTTGCTCCAGTCAATGTTACAGCTAAAGTAAAGTCTGCTGAAAAGCACCAGGAAGCTTTGAGTGAAGTTCTTCTTAGGGACAATGTGGGCTTCAACGTCAAGAATGTGTCTGTCATGTTTCTGCTGCTAAGTCTGCTGTTATTCTGATTGGTCTTCCCCAGTAGGTAGTCTGACCTCTCTCTCTCACTGCCTTTAGGATTTTTTCTTTTATACCTACTTTGTGTAGTCTGGTTACTATGTGTTTAGGGGTTGGTGTTCATTTGATGTCTTGCAGGGTTTCTCTGAATCTCTTGTGTTTGGGTGGTCACATCTCTGGTGAGATGGGGAAAGTTTTCTTGGGTTACCTCCTGGAATACTTGCTCCAAGGTGTTCTCCATTTCCCTTTCTGCTTCTGAGATACCAATCAGGCTTAAATTCGGCCTCTTGATACAACCACACATCTCTTGGAGACTTTGTTATTTCCTTCTGAGTTTTCTTTCTGTGTTTTTAACAGATTGGCTTAAATCCATGTTTTGGTCTTCATGCTCTGAGATTCTTTCTTCTGCTTGGTTGACTCTGCTTTCCATGCTTGTCATCTTGTTATTTATTTCTGGGATGAAGTTTTTTTATGGCCAAACTCTCTGTTACAAGTTCTTTCAGTGTTGCATCTTATCTTTCTTGAGTTTTATTCACTCTTTCCATACATTCCCTAATCCCTGTTGTATTCTGGGGTCAGTCATTGGTGATTTCCATTGTTTGGGCTCTGAGGACTGGTTTTTTTCAGGCATTGTCTCTTTGGTACACTGGGAATTAGCTGTGTCCTTCCATTGATTTTTTTTTCCTCATTTGTAACAGATCTCTTTCTTTTCTCTTTAATCTCATTATTCATTGGTATGGGAAAGGTTTTCACTTCTGTTGTTTGCTCAGTTCTCTATTCTTCCCCGATCAGGGCCTCCAAATTTGTTCTATTTTGAAACAGGGCTGAAGGTGGGAAGCTTTACTGTCTCTTGTAGCTTTGAGAGTCAAATAAGGTAAGAGGGTAGGGAGCACTGTTCTCGTGGGGGGTCTTCCTCATCCTTTTCTGGTTGCACCTTTTGTCCTGCAGCTGGGTCAAGGTAGGGGGTGGGGCACCTGAGACTCTACACTCATCCTGTCCCTCTGAAATGTGTGCTTTCAGGATATTCCCTCTGGGTCATGACCAACCCCAGAGTAGTTAACCCACCAGTCTCAGGAAGCGGGTCTGTTGCTCCATTGTGAGCATGCTGGAGCACTTCCCTGTCCAGTTTTCAAGATGATGGTAGAGTGTCTGTTTCATCTTCTCCAGGGACTCTGCCTCTGATTCCCTTGCTGTGCTCCCTCCATGGCCCTTGATGCCAGTGTCCAGTCTGGTGCTGCAGAGACTGGCACTGGCAGTTGATCCTGGAAGCTCCTTCCCAGGTAGGACTTTGTTGATTTTAAAAAATGGCACTCAGCTCCTGCACTCCGGGAAGCGCTAGGGTCCAAGCAGAGCAGCTGCAGCACCAGCTGTTTCACCAGGACAGCCCTGGCCACTTGTTCTTGATTCCCCACTCTGTCAGTCACTCACATGCCCACTTACACACAGACATACACAAAAATCTGTCCATACACTCACTCATTCACACAAGGATTCACACAGTCTGACTGGCTCCTCCACCATCTTCCCCAATATCCCTGGAGCTCAACTTTCAAAGTTCTCAAAGATAAACAATTTCAACAAGAAATTTCCTATGCAGCTAAGCTCAGCATCATTGTGATGGAGAATTAAAATCCTTCCCAGACATCCAATCTCTAAGAGATTATGCTGCTTCCAGACCAGCTCTATAGGAGATGCTCAAGAAGGTATTAGGCACAGAAGGAAAAAAAAAAAGAAAAAAAGAAAAGAATGACTATGCACTTCAAAAAAATACAGGAAAACATAGAGTCAACAGAGCATACAATGTACATGCAAAACTGAAAACACATACACATATCAGCACAAAAGTTAAAAGAAAACAAAATAGCCTTAAAAGAGCTTCATGACAGGGATAAACTCTCACATTTCAATAATCAGCCTGAATGTCAATGAACTAAATGTAACACTAAAAAGATATAGAATGGCAAACTGGATTTAAAAAGCACGACTTGGCCGGGCTCGGTGGCTCAGCCTGTAATCCCGCACTTTGGGAGACCAAGGTGAGTGAATTGCCTGAGCCCGTGGGTTTGAGACCCACCTGGGCAACTTGGTGAGACCTCATCTCTACAATAAATCAAAAAAATTAGCCGGGCGTGGTAGCATGCCTGTAGTTCCAGTTACTTGGAAGGCTGAGGCAGAAGGATCACTGGAGCCCAGCAGGTCGAGGCTGCAGTGGCTGGGAGCGGCCACTGCACTCTAGTCTGGATGATGGAGTGAGACTCCAACTCAAAAAATAAAAAAATAAAAAAGCATAACTCAATAATATGCTACCTCCCACGACTCAAAGTTAGAGGATGGAAAACAAAAAAATGTAGAAATCGCGATTTTAATATCACACAAAACAACCTTCAAGCTATCAAAAACTTAAAATGATACAGAAGGATACTACATAATGATAACAGGTTCAATCCATCAACAAGAAATATCCATCCTAAACATATATGCACCCAACACAGGAGTACCAGGTTTTATAAAGCAACTACTAACTAAGCTAAAAAAGTGATATTGATTCTAACACTATCATAAGTGGGGACGTAAATACCCCACAAACAACCCTAGATATATCAGCAAGGAAAAAAGTTAATAAGGAGATCTGGAACCTCAACTTGACACTTGACTAAATGGACTTAATAGATACCAACAGAACACTCCATCCAACAGCCATGAAATATACATTCTACTCACCACCACATGAAACACTCCAAGACTAACCACATCCTCAGCCAGAAATCAAGCATTAAAAAATTTCATAAAATCGAAATACTACCATGCACCTTCTCAGACTATAGTGGAATAAAAATAAATATTGTGGCCAGGTTCAGTGGCTCAGCCTGTAATCCCAGCACTTTGGGAGACTGAGGCAAGTGGCTTGCCTGAGCCTGCA